ATAAGGTGAACACTATCCTCAAGTCATCAATGCAGAATCTACTGATGTATTATATATTATACAAGTCTAAGGAGAACTATATTCTAGATTATATATTTTTAATACCTTTTGAAGCGAAAAACACCGTGTCCTAGTGATGTACTGGATACTTTTTTGTCTGCTTCGTTTAGGGAGCCTCCAATGTATTAACAGTTGTAGCCCAAGCTCGCTATGATAATTTCAAGGAATTTAAGAGAAGAAACCTCACAAGAAACCAACACCATTGACAACCATAAAAACAGAAAATAGACACATGACAGTTGATTCATTTATCTGAACTGATCTCTCTCCATACAATATCTTGGTCTGTAATGGCCTACCTGGATTGTACAATAGCAGCTCGACTACATTTTCTGTCTCTCACTCATATTCTGAAGGCAGAATGCACATAATCCGCTGGTTATAAATTGAGCATAAAGCGCAGATATATAAAATCTCAATCATGACGCATACACTCTTCTCTGTTTACTGTAATCTCTATAACGACTCCACTGCAATCAAACACGTTACTTTAGTCTTGGCCTATCTGTGTGCAAGAAGTGCATGTGCACATAAATCACTGTTGTAGATATACTGTGTATTGCTATATATTAGAAGTACGATAAGACTAAGAGTAAATATAATAAGTGGAGGCTGTTAAACTCCACACACTATTTTTAAGATATGGGCTCCCCATCCTGAGGTGTCTCTGTTTGAATATCCTCTCTAATGTTTCTTTTTGTCGCTTTCTTTTCCTTTTCCCCTTTTTTTCTCATTTGTTTTCCAGCCTCACAGTCTGTACATGCAGTGGAGTCAGCCACAGTCATTAAAAACAGCTGTGTATGGATGGGAACCCAGAACCGGTTCCAAATTGTCCAATCCATCGGAATCGGCTCTGAGCTTCCATTTATTGATGCTTCTGCACTGCTAGAAATTTGCATCAAGAAGGGGTCGTGGCGGAGAGGAAAAAAGATGAGCAGTGCTAGTTGAAATGTCTACAGAATGATCAGTTCAAGTAAAGGTGGAAAAAACAGAAAAACGCTGAAACATCTTTCTACTCAACACGGGCTTAAATTCCAGAAATGCCAGTATTTGACACACTGCACACAAGTGCCATTTGTTCCTAACTGAGCAGCATGTCTGTTACTGAGGGTAAATATAGTATAATAACATTAGTACCATGCAG